GAGTCGCCCCGACTCATAGCGACCCCTCCTTGGGTTTCCAAGGCAGTATCACTATGGAAGTAGGATTGCCCAACCTTCCTTCCGAGGAGTGGCCGGTGGGTTTGAACCGCCAGCCTTCTGGTTAGCAGTCAAGTGCTTTAGCCACTATGCTACCAGAGCTCCTAAGGAGTTCCAATATAGCCCTCACCTGGTTTCCCCTAAGGACTCCTGTTTGCACAGTGGTTAAAGCTCTCAGCTGCTAACCAAAAGGCTGGTGGTACAAACTGACCAGCACTTCAGTATTTATTACTGCCAGATGTACCTGACTGATGAGCAAAATAAGACAGTAGATTTTATTCTTTTTGTCAATCTGAGATGTTGGATAATGAGATAGTTGGTAAGAAGAAGGTGTATTTTTAACATTCACCAGTAGGTGAAAGATGAAGCAGTCTGCTTCTGTAAAATTTATAGCCTTGGAAACTCTATAGTACAATTCTACTCTGTCCTGTAGGGTTGCTATGAGTCTGAATCAATTGATTGCAGTGGAGTTTGGTTGGAATTTTCCCTATACCCTCTCCTTACATATCGACATGGTTAGGTTCCAAAGATCAGGTTATTATGTGTTATGTGAAAATGAATTAATGACCACATCAGATCACAAAATGAGGAATGACTATAACATTACATAATTGCCAGAATACATCATTACATAACTGCCAAACCGCTGAGGATGGTGGCCTAGCCAAGTTGACACGTAACCTTAACCATCATAGCCAGTACTATTGTCTCACATCTTGGTGTTCATTACTGCCAGGGGTATGTTGTTAATGTAGAAAATATTTGGATAATAGATTTTTTACTGTTTTTATAAATGCGAAATATCAGGTAATGGGGTGGTAGATAAGTAAGGAGAAGGTGTATTTTTGACATTACCATGGTACAGTTGTCAAAAAAGAAATCAGCATTAATACATTAATATTAACTAAACTCCAGACTTCAGTGGATTTCATCACTTTTTTGACTAGTAACTTCTTTCTTTTCCAGGATCTAATCCAAGGTGCCACATCACTTTGAGTTGTCTTGTCTCCCCAGTCTCTTGTGGGCTGTAACACTTTCTTAGTCTTTCTGTGTTTCTCATAGCATTGTCAGCATTAAGGAGTACTGGCCAGGTATCCTGTAGAATGTCCCCTGATCTGGGTTTTTCTGGTGTTTTTTCTCTTGATTAGTTGGAGGTTATGGATTTTTTGGAAAGAATCCCACAGAGTTGAAGTTCTCTTCTTGTCATAGCCAATCAGGGGTACATGACATCCACATGGCATCACTGGAGCTGTTAACCTTTATCCCTTGGTTAAAACAGTATTTGTCAGGTTTCTCCACTGCTACGTTTTCCCCTCACCATATTCTGTTTGAAAGCAAGTCATGAACTCTAGCCTTCTCTCAGGCTCTACCTTCTGAAGAGGGGGAGATGCTCATTTTTGACAGTGGATTTATTATTAACCTCTGTTGCTCTTAGCTTGTCATTTAACAAGGTCAGCTGATTTTTCTTTTTTGTGAGATGTTTAACTGCTCCTTTCTTTCCTTATCTATTCACAGTGGACTTCTGAATTGCCATGGTTTAATTACTGCAACACTGTTGTTCTGATTATCTAGTACCACTCTGACAAGAATATACCACAAATGGGATGGCCTTAACAAACAGGAGTGTACTCTCTTACAGTTTGGAGGCTTTAAGTCCAAGTGCAAAGTACCAGGCTCTAGGGGCTAGGTGAAAGCCCCTCAACCTTGGGGTCCAGCTCTGCCTCCTGCTTCCGGCCCACTGGAGCTAGAGGTGTTTCTTCACTCAGACAGCTACTGGCTGCTGAGGCTGACAAACCTAAGGTTGACAAGTAAAAATGCACAGTCCCAATGTTACCAAACCACATGGCAGGCCATTAATT